TGTTCCCCACAGAGACAACCACATCCACCCAGAACACCAGCTGGAAGCTCAGAGCAGGACTCTTGCCAGTAACTTCCCCACCCAGGCACAGCCCAAATGCCCACCCATAGGAAAGGTTTGAGGAAGTTGTGTAAGGTCTCTAGGTAGGGCACAGCCATGGGTATAAAGAAGTGCAGACAGTGGGAAGGTGGACCTCACAGGCAGGACAGAAGGAGGCAGGGCAGACCTGCACTCAGCCCCTGCGAGAGCCTGTCTCATGAAGGTCAAGGTCAAGCCAAGGTGAGTGTTTAAGAATTCTTATTTAGATGGCAAAACTTCCGAGAGAGAGAGAGATTTACTATAAGGCATTGGTACCCATGACTACAGAAGCTGAGGAATCCCAGTCTGCTGTCTGCAAGCTGGAGACTAAGAAGGGGGAAAGTCTGCCCGCAGAGGGCAGGAGGTTGATGACAGCTCGCAGTCACTCACGGGGAGGTAAATCCAAACTCCCTCCACGTTTTTATTCTCAGGCCCTTATAAGGAGAGAAGGGCTGGGTGATGTTCATGCACATTTGGGAGGGTCACTGCTTTGCTCCATCCACCAGTTGCAATGCCAGTCTCTTCCAGAATCATCTTTATAGACACACCCAGGGGGGAAAAAAAATGTTTCATCACATACCTGGGCATCCTGTAGCCCAGGCAAGTTGACATTAAAAAATTAACCATCACACATCTAAGGAAACAAGAAAGAAAGGTTACAATGAAAGCCCTGATGGTGGATCTTGCTTCCATGGGAGTGAGGAGGCTTTGATGGGGGAAGGACTGGGGAGTCTTGGAGGTTGGGAGGTGTGTTGGTCCTCAGCCGTGGGTAATGGTTCCAGGGGCTTTTGCTTGCTAATAATTTGCTAAGCTGTACACCTCAATTCATGCTCTTCTCTCTGTGTGGCATATTTCAAAATAAAAATATTTTAATAAAAATACAAATGGATACAACAACTATGAATTCCATATCTATTAGGCACAGATATGGTTTAGATAGGTGTCCCCCAAAGGCATTTCTGTTCAGGCTTCGTCCCCAGCGCGTGACACTATTGGGAGGTGGAGAATCTTTAAGAGGCGGGGCCTAGTGGGTGTAAGTTAAGGCACTGGGGAATGCTCTGAAAGGGCAGCTCCTTCTGCCTCCTCTCTGCCAGGTCCCAGCTATGAGATGACTGGTGCTGCCATATGCTGCTGCTCTGCTGTGCCACCTTGCCATAGGCCCCAAAGCAATAGGGCCAACCAACCACAAATGGGAACCTCCCAAACCATGAGCCAAAAACACCTTTTCTCCTCGTAAGCTGGTTCTCTTGGGTATTTGTTACAGTAACGGAAAGCTGACTAACACAGGTAGAGTATACCACAGCAGTCAGAGCTGGTATTTGAACTTGAGGCTTCCGCCCCCAGCTGTGCTGCCTCACAAGGCTGCGGAGGTGACGGCTGGGGCCTGAGGCCTCAGCCCAGGGAACAACCCCGGCCAAGGCACGTCATACCTGCAGGCTGGCATCGTACTCACTGTGGTCCCCAGTTTCCCCCAACCTTCAGGAACAAATCGGGAAGGACAATCAGCTGGGGAGGCACCAGTGGGTCCCCAGAGGTGCCTCCATCAACCAGCAGCGTGTGGCCCACTGCAGGGGTGGCCCAGCTCTTGGTCCCGCTCATCTCCATGACATTTTCCTTGTCGCCTGACAGTTCCTTTTTGTGAAGAGACAGGGTCAGTGTCCCATCCTTTGAGTCCAGCAGTCCAGGAGTGTGAGGCAGAAGGGCTGGTGACCAGCTCCAAGTCCTGGCCTCGAGGGACCTTGTGGGCTTCACTCACCCTCATTCTGCTGTTGTCATGAGAAGAACATGCTCCAGGTGTCCTGCTGGGGACACTTGATGAGATGACACCTGGAGCCAAGCCAAGGGCAGCCTAGACAGCGGGCAGCCTGTCAACTCCAGAAATGTGGCCAAGCTCGGCCAAGACCAGCCTGCTCCCAGCCAGGTGATTCCTGAACTCACTCCAAGGTTATTGTTGTTTTAAATCATTGAGTGGGGGGATGTTTGTTACTAAACATAGCTAGCTGATACATGGTCTGTGGGTAGCCTTGAGATCCAGGGACTTGTTGGAAGGGCTTCCTAAAAGGGGCTGCCTAGATGAGAAGTGACCAGCACCAGTTGTCCC